AAGAATACAGAGCATCACTTACCCCAGACTGAGAGTTCCTATTTATACCTTGTGGCTAATAGTCACTGATGGACCTCTGCTCCAGATGTTTGTCCAATCCCCTCCTGAAGCCGCCCATGCTTGTAGACGCCACCACCTCCCGTGGCAATGAATTCCATGTGTTGCTCACTCTTTGGGTGAAGAAGGACTTCCTTTTATCGTTCTAACCCGACCGCTCAGCAATTTCATGGAGTGCCCACGAGTTCTTGTCTTGTGAGAAAGGGAGAAAAGTACCTCTTTCTCTACCTTCTCTATCCCATGCATAATCTTATAAACCTCAATCATATCACCCCTCAGCCGTCATTTCTCCAAGCTAAAGAGCCCCAAGCGCTTTAACCTTTCTTCATAGGGAAAGTGTTCCAACCCTTTTATCCTTCTAGTTGTTTGCTAATTTTTTTGCTAATGATGTTTAGCTTCTCCAGCCGCCCTGCCGTGAGCCACACAATATGTGTGGAAGAGCCACATGTGGCTCCCTAGCCACAGTTTGGCCACCCCTGCTCTAAGCTGAGTTAGCGTGAGCTAGCTCACAGTTTTTTAGCCTCCGGCTCACGCACTTTTGTCTTGGCTCAGGAAGGCTGGCTCCAGAGCAAATTGATTCATGCAGCCGGCAGATCACTCACTCACAACCTTAATGCCAGTGGCTCACAAAGCAGAATTTTTGCTCACAAGACTCCACAGCTTAGAGGTTGGTTGTGGCCGACCTCAGAGCTCGGGCTCCGACCCCCCCCCCCTCGGATTCTGCCTTCAAGGCAGGAAACTTACAAGCGTGACTGAAAGTAGGTTGGGTGTGAGCAAGAAAACACTTTTAAACATGCTCATTTTCGGAACGCATCATGCTGAACGGCGCCACTGCCGGAAGATGCTGACGATTTACCATTAGAGTTATGCATAACTTCACTCCCTGACATTTCACGGTTGGCCCTGCCTCATGCGGCGGCAGCCCTTTGGTGGCTGCGCCCAGCACCCTGTGTGAGAATTCCAAAGGCACCCAGAGGCTCAGAAAGGTTGGGGGCAGTGTTCCCTCTAAGCTTGAGTTAGTGTGAGCTAGCTCACCGTGTTTTAGCCTCCGGCTCACGCCTTTTTGTCTCAGCTCAGGAAGGAGGGCTCCAGAGCAAACTTAATTTATGCAGCAGCCAAATGGCTCGCTCACAGCTTTAATGCCAGTAGCATAGAAAGTAGAATTTTTGCTCACCAGACTCCATAGCTTAGAGGGAGCATTGGTTGGGGGGGCCCCTGCTCCAACGGGCTAACTGGACAGAGCCTATGGGCTCCCCTCCAGTGTGCCTCGGCTAAGAACGTGAGGACATGTGGAGGGGTGTGTCTGTGCGCGCAGAGCACAGCGTGGCCCTTGCTCTTCAAGGCTGCGGTTCTTGCTTTTGCGCTTGCCCGCCGCCCGGCCTCTGCCGGCGTTCTCCTGGCGTGCTTGTCTGAGTGATGATGTGCCCTCCCCTCTCTTCCTCCCCCCCCAGATCTCAACCGCAGCACACGAGGAGGACCCCATTATGAGAACGCGCACTGGGGAGCCGTCTCTTCCAGCAGCGACTCCGGCACAAATTGGGAGAAGGTCCTTGTAGACGGCCCAGACCCAGAGGCATGGCCCTCGGCCCCCGGCGGCACTGACGCGGAGCCGGCTTCGGAATGTGTGGACGCTGACTCCGCCTCGAGCTCCGGGTCGGAGAAGAGCCCGGCCCTCATGGCTTCCCGGGGCGCGGACGCCGGCAGCCTGCCGAACGGCATCGGACACGGCTCCCCGGCCAAGTTTGCTGCCGGCGGCCACAGCAATAACGGGGGCGGCGGGAGCAGGCCGTGGGGCTTGTGCCTCGGCGCCGTGACAAGCGCGGGGGCGGCCCCGGTGGAGTCTCCGAAGGGCACGTCGGAAAGCGGAGGCGGCAGGATGAACTCTTGGGGCGCCCTCGGCCCCTCGCCCGGCGGAGGGTTGAATCCCAGCACTTTGAATGCCAGCGGCAGCCGCGGTGCCTGGCCCGTGTTGGAGAGCAACGGGCACCCCCTGAAAGGGCCTGGCGGCGGCGGCCACACACCAAGCACCCCGAGCGGGAGCTGCAGCCTCGTCTCCTGGGGGAGCCTCCCGGAGGGCGGCTGTGACCCCCCGGCCAACGGTACCAGGAAGGTTTCGCAGAGTGGGCCACCTCAGAACCTTAACCCCGAAGTGAACGGACCAAATAATAACACTACTAACTTGATGACCTCTAGTTTACCAAACCCCGCCGGCTCCGTGCCGCCGAGCGAGCCGGAGGGCGGCGACGCAGGCCCCCCCGGGGGCTGGGGCCGGACCGCCCTGCCTCTGCTCCAGACCTCACCGGCCATCGGCGGACCTTCCGCTCCTCACCTCAGCAATGGTGAAGCGAAGATCGGCGGCGCGGCCTGGGCGGGTGCCTATGGCTCCGCCTTCCCCGGAGACCGATGCCCTGACTCCAGCGTCCGAGCCGGCGGCGACACTGTGAACGCGACTCTCTTGCCGCCGGGCCTTGCGAGTGGCAGCAGCAGCACAAACTTTGAAACCAACGGGGGCAAGGGAGCAGGGGGGTGGGAGGGAGCAGGGGCGGCCGGCACCCCGAACCTGCCGTGGGGGGGTGGGGCGGGCTCCGGGGGCGGCCAGAGGGGCTCCGACTTCACGGACGGAGAGTGGAGCCAGCTGTCGGTCAGTCAGCGCCCCCCTCCCGAGAACGGCAGCGCCAAGAAGTTACCGGGGGCGTGGCCGCCAGCCGAGGAGGAGGACGCGAGCATGGAGGTGCAGAGCTCGGCGGTCTCTCCCGTCCCCGAGCAGCATGGCCGGTGGGCGAAGGTCAGCCCCGGGGGGAGCGAAGCGGGCCCCGGGGAGAGTCCCGAGGAGAGATCGGCGGCCGAGGGGGCCGGCCACGAGAGACGGAAGGCCGACCAGTACGCACTACTCCAAAGCATCGTCAACAGGACGGGCCTGGACCCCCGGGTCCTCTCCAACGCCGGCTGGGGCCAGACGCCCATCAAGCAGAACACGGCCTGGGACACAGCGGTGGCTTCCCCGCGCGGGGAGCGGAAGGTGGACAACGGCACGGAGGCCTGGGGGGGCTGCAGCAGCTCAGGGGAAAGCGCGGAGAGGCCCGGCCCGAACGGCCCCGCTGGCCCGTCCGGGTGGGGGGAGACAAAGTCCGCAAGCAGGTGGGGAGACCCCAAGGTCTCCGGCGGAGGCAGCCAGGGGGGCTGGGAGCGACCAGCCGCTCCCGCCCAGGCCAAAGGCAATCATCCATCGTGGGCGGCGGGCGGGAAAGACGACAAGCCCTCACCGGCATCCCCCTGGAGCGACGCAGAGAAGTTCAAGCCAGGGTGGGGGGACGGGCAGAAGGGGAGTCCTGGGTGGGCCGGGCCGGCCGCTGACGGCTGGGGGGAGAACCTGAGGAGCAACCATTGGGGCGAGACGAGGAAGTCCAGCTCTGGCAGCAGCGACAGCGACCGGTCGACGTCCGGCTGGAAGGAGCCACCGGGCAAGGCCGGCACTGCCCACTGGGGTGGGGGAGGAGGCGGCCGAGCCCACCCAAGCCCCGGGTGGGAGGAGCCCGCCAAGCCGAGCCAAAGTCAGGGGTGGGGGGACCCCCCCAAGCCCGGCCGTTCTCAGAGCTGGGAGGCGGCCAAGTCCCCCGGCTCGCCGGACTGGGCCAAGCAGCAGCAGCAGGACGCCGGGGGCTGGGGGGCACAGCCCACCCTGGGCAAGGCACAAGGTGTGACGGGGTGGCCGGGGAGGCCAGTGCCGCCCCTGGCCAAGGAGGAAGAGCCCACCGGGTGGGAGGAGCCGTCCCCCGAATCGATCCGCCGCAAGATGGAGATTGACGACGGAACGTCCGCTTGGGGGGACCCGAGCCGGTACAACTACAAGAATGTGAACATGTGGGACAAGAATACCCCGAGGGGGGGCGACCCTTCGGACCAGCAAGCACACGGCCCTCCGCAGCGCCTGCCGTCCCACGCTGCACCTGGCCCCAGTACGGAGAGCAATGGCGGCGGCAGCTCTGGTAAGTTCTCCTTCGCATCTCGCTGTGCCGTAGGGGTGGTGGGAAGGGGCCTGGTTAGAGACACACACGCACCCTTCACAGCTCTGACGGCTGCACAGTATTTCTGCAAGGGCTGAAGGGAAGGAGAGTTGCCCCCAAGAACTGCTGGAGGAATAGCCGCGAGCTGAAACGAGGCTATGCCGGTGGGGTGGGGGGGGAGGCCAGCTGCTGTCCAGTCCCTTCCCGCCGGTGCTTTCTTCTAATTTATTTATTTATTTCTTGAACTTGTACCCCCGCCTTCCCCGCTACAGGCAGGCTCAGGGTGCCTAACATCATAAAAACACATTGACAATAAATATCACAACTCTCTAAAAGCAGTTCATAAAACAATTCCGTAACGTTTCCTTACAACAGTTTACAATTAAAGTGCTAGCAATTAAGTTATGGTATCAAGATAGCCTCATAGAGTCGATAAATTCCCTCGATAATCAACTCAATGATCTTTCTCCGTTTCGGTCGGCGAGCACAGGCTAGTAGACCAGGCACCAGGCTTCTGTTGTTATTAACGATGGTAGTGGTGGTGGCGGCGGCGGCTCCTAGTTAAAGGCCTGGCGGAAGAGCTCCGTCTCGCAGGCCCTGCAGAACTGTAAAAGGTCCCGCAGGGCCCTGATCTCTTCTGGCTGCTCATTCCACCAGTGTGGAGCTGCCACTGAAAAGGCCCCGGCCCTGGTAATAGCAAGCTTGGCATCTTTGGAACCTAGAAGGGTCCTAGTTAAAGGCCTGGCGGAAGAGCTCCGTCTCGCAGGCCCTGCAGAACTGTAAAAGGTCCCACAGGGCCCTGATCTCTTCTGGCTGCTCATTCCACCAGTGTGGAGCCGCCACTGAAAAGGCCCCGGCCCTGGTAATAGCAAGCCTGGCATCTTTGGGACCTAGAAGGGCCAATCGATTTTGTGACCCCCCACCAAAGTGCTCTCTGGGGAATATATGGGGGAAGGCAGTCCCTCAGGTATGTCGGACCCTGGCCATATGGGGCTTGATGGATCTAAGCGCACGAAGGGAGAAAGGCGGCGGCGGCAGCAGCTGGCAGATTTGTTGGGTGGGTGGCGGGACAAGTATTAGGGGCCACTCTCGTACCTGTGGAACAAATTCCCTTCCTGGCCTGCAGTGGTTTTACTCTGCACAGCTGATCAGATCCTGAATCCTCTTTCATCAGCCCTGCTGGGCAGGAGAGCCGCCACTTCCTGAAAACACTTGGCGGGCACCGTGGTTGGGGGGGCCCTGGGCCCCAGCCCCTCGAGCGAGCCTTCCTTGCTGCGCCAAAGCCTGCAGAATAGACGCTGGCTTTGGGGATCCTGCTAACTCCTGCCTCTCCCTGAAGGTTGGGGAGAGCCCTCTCCCGCCCCCACGACGGTCGACAATGGCACAGCCGCCTGGGGCAAGCCCGTCGATACGGGAGCCAGCTGGGGGGAGTCCATCAGTGATGCCGGGAGCGCCGGGAACTGGGGGAGCGTCTCCGTCAGTCAGCCAGCTCCTAACAAAGCGGGTAGGTGGCGGGTATGTCGGGGGGGTGGGGGGGCCCTGGAGGGACAGCAGGGGTACCTTTTGTGAGAAGGGAAGCGGAGGGGGTTGCCCGGCTCGAGAAGGTTTGCCTCCTTCCTCTGGGCCGTGGAATGGGAGCAACCGGGTCGACCTGGCCACTGCCGTCGGTGGCTGGCCTCTCCGTTGACGAGTGGATGTCTCTGATCGTGCCAGGGCCCAAGTCTATGCAAGCGGCTGACGGCTGGTGTGGAGGCGACATGCCCCTGACCGGGAGCCGCCAGGCCGGCTGGGAGGAAGCGGAGGACGTGGAGATCGGGATGTGGAGCGGCGGCGGCTCAGCCCAAGAGGTCGGCGCCTCGCTGAACTGGTCGCCGTATGCAAAGAGGTTGCCCTCCAAGGTGAGTTCCGGCTTCGGTCGAACGACGGCCGGAGGGGCTGGGGGTGGAGGCCGGCCACCGTCCGTGGAATGCCGTTAGACCCCTTAGCAGTCCAGTGTGTGCTCAAAAGAGATTGGGGTGGGCGAGCGGAGGCCTATTGGGCCCTGCTTCCTGTGGAGGATTGTGCTCCATGGCGTAGCAGTGGGAGGCAGATGAACTCTTTCTCTTCCAGGCCACTTTCTCTCTGTTTCTTCCTTCCCATCCCCAATCCGGGGGTGGTGGGGGTGGGGGTGGTTTTGACCATTGTGGCCCCTGCGGGACTCGGCTGCGTTTGTTTTTAATTCCTTGCACCTTTAAACTCTGTCCCGAAGCCTTTTGGGTTGGGCTGTTCCACTTTGTGCCTCTCCCGCCTGGCCTGGCCTTAGTTGCCCTCATTTTGAGGGTTTTTTCTTTTTCTTTCTTGGTTTAGGGAACAATGAAAAACGGCAACAAGCAAGAGGAATCGTGGATAAATCCGTTTGTTAAGCAATTTGCCAATCTCAACTTCTCTGTAAGTATCGCGCAGATCTTTGTGCTCCGGAGAGGCCCCGGCGTTGAGACTCCTGTTCTTTCAGAATGCCAGGGAACGTGCCATAGCTTTAAAAGCCAACCCCCCATCACATTCTTAGGGCAAAGGCAGAAAACGTGGGTGGGTGGCAGTGTTCCCTCTAAGCAGAGTCTGTGTGAGCTAGCTCACTTTTTTAGCCTCCGGTTCACATATTTCGTCTTAGAAGGATGGCTCCAGAGCAAACAGATTTATGCAGCAGCCAAATTGCTCGCTCACAACCAATGCTCCCTCAGTGGAGTCTGGTGAGCAAAAATTCTATTTTGTGAACTGGCAATAGAGTTGTGAGCGAGCAATTTGGCTACTGCATCAATGAGTCTGCTCTGGAGCCCTCCTTCCTGAGCGGAGACAAAAGCGTGTGAGCCGGAGGCTACAAAACCGTGAGCTAGCTCACACTAACTCATCTCAGAGGGAACACCGCTCACAACTTTAATGCCAGCCGCTCGTAAAGTAGAATTTTTGCTCACGAGACTCCACAGCTTAGAGGGAGCGTCGGGTGGGTGGTCGTTGAATGCGGGACGCTGCCTCTCGGCCGCGTGTTGGGTTTTTACCGCCCACGTCTTCTCTCTCCCCCTGCAGAGGGAGTCCCCTGAAGAAATCATGCACAGCAATAAGATGGACATATCCGGAGGTGAGCCCTGGGCGTGGGAATGGGGGGGGGATCATCAGCAGAGAACAGCCCCTGGGTTTGTCACCCGTGCTCTTTAAAAACAAAAGGCGGTTTCCGGGGGATCCTCATTGGCCGATGGCTGGGGGGGGGAGGGCACGCGGGTCATGGCCTGAAGCAGCTGCAGATCCCTTTGCGATCCCCCCCTTCCCCGGAGAAGGCCAAAACCTGGCCACGGCCACGCATCATACTCCTTGTTGGCAAAGTGTCCCGCGCTGTAGGAGGCTAGAGGACCTGGGGTGCGCCCTGCGGGGCAGACCCGCTTAGGGAAGGAGGAGGTCGTGGGAGCTGCCTGCCGCACCCGGAACTGATGGGGCAGCCTCCTCTGCGGCCCCGTGACGCTTCCTCTGCCTCCCCAGGGGTCTTGCCGGACAAGCGGATGGAGATGGAGAAGCACGGCCTGACCGCTGGCGATTACAGCCGGGTGGTGGGGAAAGGCCCCGGTGCCCGCCCTCAGAGTTCCAAAGAGTCTTCCATGGATCGAAGTCCTTACTTTGATAAGGTGAGGGGAAGGGGTGTGTGTGTGTGCTGTTGGCTCCGGAAGACTCCAGTCCTCCCGGCTTTGCGCACAGTTTGCCCTGCGTGGCAGAGCCTCCAGCTCTTCTCCGTCCTGGCAGAGAGGGGGGTCTCTAGGAAGCCGAGTCTGTGTCCTCCTTCCGCTTGGGGTCTGTTGCTCAGCCGGGAGGTCGCTTGGGGCACAGGGCCTCCTCTCTCCTGCCTGTAGGGCCGGCAAGCACCTCTGTCTCCGGGAGAGAATTCAGAAGGGGCAGTTTTACTGGGTATGGAGGGGTGAGTTGGGGTGCGGATGCCGAATGCCTCCCTAAGAGGCTCCACCGGGAGGGTCTGGTTCTGTTTGCCGCCCTCTCCCCTAACAGTCGGGTCCCTTGCGGCGGTTGCACAGCCGTTGTTGCGGAGAGCTGTCTCCGGGCTCGCGGGTGCCGGCTAACGCGTCTCTTCTCTTCTCTGGCTCTCCCCTCTCGCTGCCCTCGCGCCACTTGCCTCTCCTCCGCCTCGCCTGCCCGGCCAGGACGGCCTTCTCGTAGCAGATGACCCCACAAACGTGCCGTTTCTGCCCAGTCAGAACGCGAAGCCTCCCCCTCCTAGCAGTGCACTACCTAACCAGGCCCTTGGCTCCCTGGCCGGGCTGGGCATGCAAAACTTGAATTCTGTTAGACAGGTAAGGGCTGCGACTCTCTCCCCTTTTGGTGGCGGTGCTCTTTGCGCTTGTTGGCTTCTCTGAGCCCTGATTGCTGGGGTGCGAGAGCGTTCCGGGGGTGGGTGGGGGGGCATGGCTTGGCACCAGCACCATGTCTTGTGGGAACCGGGGTAGTCCCTGTGCAGAGCATTTGTGGAGCCCCCCTCCCCCAGGAAAGGGATCCATCACACCTTGGCAGTCCTTTGGGCCCTTTTCTAGTGATGCAAAGTTCCCCCCCGGCCACAAGCACCCGCGGGCGTTCTCCCTGGCTCCCGGGCACCCTTTTCAGCAGACCAGCTCTGCAAGAGACAAATCTGCAGCAGAGCCCCCTCGAGACATGACCCCGCCCCCCGCGCCGGTCCACCTGTGGGGGCTGTGCACGGTGCCGGCAGCCGAACCTCTCCTTCCTCCGGCCGGTCTCCTCCCAGCCCCTTGCTCTGCGCTGCTGTGCCGAGCTGTTTGTCTCCTTTCACATCCTTCACTAATTTCTCCACTCCTCCTGTGCCACTCCC